TGAAATATGATAGAAGAAGTAATATTTAAAACTATTGAAAATCTAAGTAATTAGAACATAAACTAATTGAATTTATGTAGTTTACCCCATCATTTTTTGCATATAGCCCAATCTAGTAGCTAGACTATATGGAGAGGAATGGATACATATATACTAATTCTTACATTTATTATGGGCAAATTATAGAAGAGAAAAGATATAAAATCACCATTAAAGTTGTCTGCGGTTTCAAAAAGACATTTTAACTTTGCAACTATCATATTACCCCACTAAACAATATTGAACATATATTATTATATCATTTTTCGATCAGCCTCAAATTTTAAGAAATAAGTGTGTTCACACACCAATCATAACATAACACGTGTTAATTTAATCAATTAATTAATTTCATTTTAAGTTTTTCCTTTTATCTTTTTTTTTTCTTTATTTCTCTATCTCTCTTACTTTTTGAATTTTAATTTGGATTTATCTTAAATTTTGTTCCATTTTCCACCCTCTCACTTTTAAGTCATTCATCCCTCCATTTTTTTTTCTTCACCTCCCAGCCCCATGTCAAATAAAATCTCACACCCATTTTTTTTCTTTTTCTTCTCCGCTCAAATTCTTTATAGAAATAATGCTATTTAACAAAATTAGTAATTTTTCTCAGAAAATTTAAAATTTGAAGTATCATCAACTACTCATTTTCATATGAATTCAAAATTAGAATTCATAATTTTAAAAGAATCAATTAATTCCAAAAAAAATTGAAAGAACTTAGAACTTAATTGAAATCAATAAAAAACTATATGATACTTCCTAATCATCTCATTAATTTATCTATCATATAACTTTAAAACTAGAAATGATAATTTTGAAAAAAAATCATAATTCTCCAATTGAAAAATTTTAATTGAAATTTGGATTAAAAAGACTAAATAGTACCTACTGATCATCTTGAAATCTAATAGGTTTATCATATTGTTAAAATGTAATAAACTATTCAGATATAGTTTTAAAATTGAAGAGAGTTAAACTAATAATAGTAAAAAGTGGAGGTAGAGTTATGATGAAAAGTAAAATTTAAAGTGAGAAGTTTCAATGAAGATGAAAATGAATTTTTGAAGGAGGAAGAAAGAAAAAGAAAAAATATAATAATGAAAAAAAGTTTAAATAATAAAAAAAAACAAGAAAATGTATTTTATAGGAAAAAAATACTTGCAAAAATAAAATTATATATATATTTTTTTAATTTGTTCACGCTCTTTAAGAGAGTGCATACACTCTTCATGCCAGGTGGATAAAAAATGATGTAATAATATCAATCCAAAATTGTTTAGGCAAATAATAGGACGCTTGCATAGTTTAGGTATCTTTTTAAAAATTCGAAACAACTTCAGGTGTCACTTTATGTCTTTTTCTCATTACAGAAATCACATACTTTTAAGGTAAAATTACAATCTATCCCTTAAAAATTCATAATTACATAAATCCCTCAAAAGGATACATTAATGGAGGGTCCTAATATATTAATGGCCAAAAAATCAAAGAACCGATACATTAAAAAGAGGATTGATACATGTGCTGATATATTAAAAAGATGGTCATATGCATTAATGGAGGGTCCGGATACATTATTGGCCAAAAATTCAAAGCGATGATACATTAAAAAGAGTGTCGGTTACATCGTTGGTGCATTAAAAAGAAGGTGGGATACATTAATGGATTTTGTCGGATACATTAATGAAGGGTCTGAATAGATTAATGGTAAAAAAATTAAAGCACTGACACATTAAAAAGAAGGTTGGATACATGCGTTGATACATTAAAAAGAGGGTCGAATACATTAATGGAGATCGAATACATTAATGACATTTTTACTCAAGAAAAAAATTAAAGATTTTGGAGATTTGTGGAACTTAAGAGGGATAATGTTAATAAGTAAAGTAAAACGTAAGATTTCTGTAATTATTTCTTTATTTGAGAAAAAATTTAAAACAACAATATTTTAGCTTTTGATGGATTCCTTGGCAGTAGTTTTACTGTTTATTTAAAACGTAAATACTTAGTTTGTTAAGGTTGAATTATCTATTTATTTTATTTTAATTAATTTAAAAGAATACAAATAATTAATAAAGAAAATCATGGAACATAAAATTTCAAAAAAAGGTAATTTTTTTTTAAAAAAATAAATCAGTTACGTTTTTTAAAGAACATATGTTGTCATTTTTTATCTAGCATTTTTTTCTTTTGTTCTTAAGAATTTCAATTTTTTTAAAAACAGTACTTTGTATTTTGTATCTTATATGAGTGAAAGTGTTGTAAAATTTGTAATACCTTTTATTTTGAATATTTAAATGTTTGAACTTCTTTGGAGATACGGTTGATGCTTTTAAATTTCTTAATTAACACATATTCAAAGAAGTTCAAACATTTAAATATTCAAAATAAAAGGTATTACAAATTTTCCAACACTTCCACTCATATAAGATACAAAATACACACACACAAGTTTTCAATCAAGTTCATATCTAATAATTTCTAAACTTAATTAGTTATATATTCAAACTAATTAATTAGTTCCAAGTTCAAGTCATAATTTGAAGTTTAAGTCTAAGTTCAACTTCAAATTCTAAGTTCAAATTTAAGTTCTAATTTCAAGTTCAAGTTCAAATTCTAAGTTCAAGTTCAAAGTCTAATTTCAAAATCTAAGTTCAAGTCTAAATTCTAAGTTTAAGTTAAAGTCTAAGTTCAACTTCAAAATATGCTTAAAGTCTAAGTTCAAGTTCAAAATATGCTTTGTTTGGTCTAATTAAGTTCAATTTATTCAAAGATCTACAAAGTTAAAGCTTAATTAATCAATCAATACTAATTAATTAAGTTCAAGTTAGTTTTCATTATAAAATCTAATTAAGTTGCAATTCAAATCCCTAGTCCCAAAATCACAAATTCAAAGTATTCTTAAAATTCAAAAATCAAACTAGTCCTAAAATTTCAAATTTAAACTAGTCCTAAATTCTAAATTCAAAATAGTCTTAAAATCACAAATTCAAAGTACATCTATAATTCAAAAATCAAACTAGCTATAGTGCTAAAATGTCAAATCAAATTATTAGTGGTCCTATAAATTCTCAAATAAAATTTAAATTAGTCCTAAAATCTCAAATTCAAACTAGCTAGCTATTCCTAATCCCAAAACTATTAGGCTAAAATCTCAATAATAATTCAAACTCTAGTTAGTCCTAGATTTCGAAAATCAAACATACTCAAATAATACCTAAATTCAAACAACTTCTTGAACTAAATCCTAATTCAAACTAATCATACAATCCCAAAATAAAACTAAGGTTTAAGTCATACACGACCTTTTTAAGTTGTCTGCATTTTTCATTTAGCCACCTTAACTAGGATTATTACTTAAACACTTAAATTATTCAAAAAGTATACCTATTAAACACAAAGTGTTGATATAGTAAAAGAACTGTTTTTCACTTTCTATGGGCCCGTGAAATTTTTTGAAATACTATTTTATTTTTATTTTTTCTGAAAAAACTTACACTTTTTATTCTTTGATTGACACTTGACATTTAAATAAATTGAAATAATTTTTTAATATTTTAAAAGTAATAATTCTTAATCCCAAAAAAAGACAAAACACCCGTACCCCCTTTAAGTCATCTTCTTTCCCAAATTTAAATTTTCAAAGACAACTAAACAATCTCCATTTTCTTGTTTTTGTCTTTTCTATTTCTTTTCAATATTCATGAAAAAAACTGAATCAAGAATTTGAATTTGCAAGAAAAATAATGAAAGTAGTTTTTTGAACATTGGAATAAGAAAGTAAATTGACGTTTCATCTCCATTTTCGATCACCTTCGAATAAATATTACCATTCAAATAAAATTGTAAGCTTACTAAACTTATCAAAAATAATATCAAATAATTCGCCAAATTAATTTAGGTCCTCTTGATTTCTCCCTACAATTGATCTTATGATTTTAAGATGATTATCTATTGGCAAACATCCTTTATTCATCACTCTTGTACCAACTATTTAAATATCTTTCTCTATCACGAATTAGATAATTTTCGATAAAATTAATTTGGGCCCTTTCAATTTTTCTTTGCAATCGAGTTTCGAATGAGTAACTATTGACGAACTTCTTTACCATTTATTGTATCAATCTCTTTAAATATCTTTCTCTCACACACATTATGAATACCAACTATTTTTTTAAAAAAATCAAATCAGTTGGCTGTGAAGGTTTTGTCGTTTGAGAAAAAAATTGATAGAGAAGAAGGGGATTGGGTTGGATGGGGTTGAGTAAAATTGATTGTCATTTCATTTACTTTATTATGAATATATATAAGATTTATTTGAAATAATTTTACATTCTTTTTTTTTAAAGAAATCTATAGTTGTTGAGGTCAAGTGACACATGTCATATTTTAATTAGTCATTTTGGCACATCATAACAAGTCTATCTCACACACTTTTTTTTTTGATTATCAAAAAAAGTTTAATAGGAATATGTTTTAAATAAATAAAAATATTTAATAAGTATTAATTTTAGTTAATATATCTAAGTGAATTATGCAGATGACTTTAAAGGGCTAGATGACTCAATTCTAAAATTAAACTCATCATATAACTATATAAAAAAAATACATAAATAAGGAAGAATAGTTTTTTTATTATTCCAATTTATTTTATAATAAATTAAAATCATTCAAAAGTTACCTTAAATTAGTAAACTCATCGTCTCGAATAATTTCTGATCACTTTAAAAAAAATACACATACATTAAGTATACATGAATGTGTAAGTATTAAGTTCATGAAAAAGGGGAATGGACACTCCAATAAATTCAATGATCAAAATTGTTGATCAGAAGAGCAAGTGAAGGGTCGGTGTTGATCCGAGCCAAAATCTGTATAGGGTCGGTGTTGAAGCCATAATGCTAAACCAAACATCATTAACTTAACGCTAATTAAAAAGTGGGACCCATAGTCAAAAACTGGCAACAGATCTCGAGAAAATCGGACGGTTCATCGTGTACGTGAAAACCCTTTTTGATCAAAATTCTTTGAATCTCGCTTTGTGCTATCTAATTTTCCTTTTTGCATGGCGAATTCCAATATTGTAATTAAGCAAGAAATTTTGGAAGGGTTTACCAAGAAGCCGCCGGAAAAATCTTCACCGGCGCCTCAATCGGTGTTTATTGATCTAAGTAGTAGTGATGATTCCGACTCCGATTCCGGTTCCGATTCCGGTAGTATTTCCGGTAATGGTAGTAATAGGCCGAAGAAGAAGAGGAAGAGGGTACAGGATGTGAACTTCGCATTGCCTTTGGGATTTTTGGATCCTTTGCCACCGCCAAAGGAACCTCCATTGCCGTTACCAGCTCCGCCTAATGGAAGTAATACGGATTTAGGTGTTTCCGGGAGTAGTTGCAAGCAGTTTTGGAAGGCTGGAGATTATGAAGGGTCTTCTTCTGCTAGTTCAGTACTAAAATCAGGTTTGTATTATTTTTCTCGAGCAACTTGAACTAAGAAAATTTGCTGAATTTGTTGGTTTTAATTCGTGCATGCCAGCAACTATGTGCCCTTTCCGTTAAATTTTTCTATGGATTGTTTTATTGTACATATTGGTGGATTACTTTAAGCTTAAAATTGTGGGTTAGTTGGATTGTCTAAATCTTGTTGAATATGGGGAAACTCCGAGTTAGTTCAGAACATTAAAGATTGTTATCTTGTAATTTTTTCTTTATTGTGCCTTAAATTTGGTGGATGGATTGGATTGTCTAAATCTTGTGGAATATGGTGTAGTTTGGAGCCTTAATGACTGTAATTTTTGGTGGATTATTATATAATCTTAATTTGGTGGGTGAATTGGATTTTCTCTAATTTTTTTTGGATATGGGAAACTATGGTTATTTATTTATTTTGGTTAATTAGGTAAGTTAATTAAGTTTAAGTGGAAAATATCTCTCCTAACTAACCTTATTGGAAGTATTAATATCTCTGGTTATCTATGCTAATGAAAGGATATTGTATATATTCCTTTTTGGGTTCTTGTAGTAAAGAGGATTATTTTAGCTGCGGGAGTAACATACTTTCTCAATCTTGTAGGTGGTATAGATCATGTCCGAGTTCATCCCAAATTCCTACACTCCAATGCCACAAGTCACAAGTGGGTACTTGGAGGTAAATTATCACATTTGATCTTAACCATATCTTTTGTAGGGTTTATTACATACCTTACAGTTTTTGCCCTCTTGATTTCATCTTTTCTGATCGTATACAATCCCTGCAGCTCTTGCTGAGCTCTTGGACAATTCATTGGATGAGGTATACTTTTTGGCTTACTACTCTCATTTGTTACTTGCACTTAACATATGTTTTAAGTTCACTATCTTTGATAAGGTGTCCAACGGAGCAACATATGTGAACATTGATATGGTCAAAAACAAAAAAGATGGGAGCAGAATGCTTCTGATTGAAGGTATTTCTTTTTGCTTTTATATGGTTGCTAGAACTATGCATTCTCTACAGATGAGAATGCCAGAGTCTTTTTTATGTCAGATAAGCTGTCTTCCCAACCAATCAATTTCTATATCCTCACCATTTATTTTTCTTCCCCCCATTTTCCTTTTTAACTTTTATTCGGATTGGTGAAGTGGAGAATGGTTATGTACTTCCACTTTTCTTCAATTCTTGTGAATCAGACAACCAGTAAAGAGGACATCAATTTGTGTTCTGTGTATTTTGAGGAGAAGCAATCTCAATGTTAGTTCCTAGAAACACGATGCCCCACCATGGAGTTCCCTGTTAGATGGTATAAAACTGTGGATAGGCTATGCTTCATTAATAGGAGCAATAAGCTGGCTAAGTCTTTTCCTAACCACCCTAAAAATGTTAATTGTTTGAAATATTTATTTCCTTTATGCACTTAACCTCTCTCTCTATGATCAAGGCTCTTAAATTCCCTCTTCATTGTATCATATGCTTCTTAAAACTGTCATTTATCTTGCTCATTCTTCTACAGATAATGGTGGTGGGATGGATCCTGAGCGAATGAGGCATTGCATGTCTCTGGGATATTCTGTGAAAAGCAAAATGGCTGATACTATTGGGCAGTGTGAGTTTTAACTGAGATGCTTTTGATTTGAAATGCTTTTGATATCAATAATGTTCATTTTAGCATATAAGTTAATTTTGTGCTTTGTATAGATGGAAACGGATTCAAGACAAGTACCATGAGACTTGGAGCTGATGTGATTGTTTTCTCTCGTTCTGATGGGAAGCCAGGGAAAAGGTTCTTACTCTCCTTTTAATGGTCTCTTACTCTGTTCTTCCATTTCTCAATTCAGTTGGTACAAGTTTGGAAATTGGCCTAGGGCTTGCATGTTACTGAAGTTCCACTCATGGACTTGTCATAACTCGTGTATTTGTTCCCTCTTCGCTCATCATCATTTTATGTTCTTGGTTTCATATGTGCAAGCTTTTCTTCTGATATTATGTGTAGCTTCGTACATTCCTTTGATGATCACCATTCTATGATTTTCATAGTAACTTGTAGAACATAATATTTATGATTCTCACGCAGTCCTAATGGTATTCCTAATTGGCAAAGAGTAGGACGCCAGAGTTCATGACATGTTGTCAGCTGTCCGTTATCAATTATAAGTGATTGTATGAGAATAATGAGAATATTTTTGTAATTGTTGCCTTGGTTAAAAACTATGTATGGTAATGGAGCGTGAAAAGGAAAATCTCTTTTTACCCTGCCTTCTGTAGGGCACAGGTATAAGTGTGATGGGGATGGTCAGGCCAAAACGTGAAAAGTAAATTTGTGAGGTTATGTTGGTAGTTTCGTCCCATCAACGCAACTTTAATTCCACTGTGCATTGTTGATTTCCATCCACTCTCCTATCTGACACCCACACCAGAAATAAACAAATAAAATAAAATATAAAATAAGAATCTAATACAAATTGAGATAGTAAGTTGAGGTTTGTGTTGTGAAGAAAATGACCCACAAAAACAATATTCACGGTTTATAACTGCACTAGACACGTAGCACCATTTGTTACACTTTGCAGAGTCGTGAGTAGAATGTTTGAGGATACACATTTAAAAGAAAGAAACCTGTTATGACTTTTCCACTTTACTATAATATCAGTCACGGATCTCTACAATATATGTACGGAAAAGGGCCTAAATATCCTCGAAGTATTGGAAATGGTACAAAACTACCCTCCATCCACCTATTGGCTTTAAAATGCCCTTTTCACCCACGTATTGTCTCCAACATACCCTTGTCATCTACCTTTGGGTTCAAAATTGACCACTTATTTAACGGTTTCAAATTTAAACCATTTGATTAATTTTTTTAAATACTTGGCGCTCTAACAATTTGATACAATTTAATTTATTAATATCATTTATAAACCAACCAACTACCCACCCATTACTAATTAAACCTAACCAAATTAATAAATCAATTCTAATATCAAAATCGCCCCAAACACTACTAAAACACGACGAAATTACAAATTCCTGAAAATGAAATTCAAAATTATTCGAGTCTGAATTAAAACTCCAATTAAATTTAGGTTGAACCGCTCATTTAGGAGTACACTTTCAATAGGATTCTTTTTCAAGCTTAAATTCGAATTTTATGATTAAAGGTAAGAAGTAGTACATTCCGAATTAATTCATGCACTTTTTTTTAATATAATTTAGTAAATAGTATTTATTATTTGTTTTAAATATTAAAACTTTAATATATTCTTTTATAAAAAGTTATCTATTAAGTAACATCACATAATTGAGACGAGTGAATAATTAAGCTGAACATAGTATAGTCAGACTTTTAAGTTTATCGGTAATTTTTAATTAGACATTTCAATTGTAATATGTTTTATTTGAGGACTTCTATGTATGATAATCTACTTCTATAGACATTTTCGCCTCAGATTTTTAGAATTAGGTGTAGTTTTTCTATTGTTGCATTAGTAATGAGGCGGGTTTATTAATTGGGTGTGGTCTAATTAGTATTGGTGGGTAGTAGATTGATTTATAAATTATATTAATAAGTTAAATTATAACAAATAGTTGAGAGTCATGTATTAAAAAATATTTATCTTGTTTTAATTTAAAATCGTTAAATAAGTGGTCAATTTTGAACCCAAAGGTGGATGAAAAGTGTATTTTGGAGCCAATAGGTGGATGGAGGGTAGTTTTGTACCATTTCTGATACTTTAAGGGTATTTTAGGTCCTTTTCCGATTTATGTATTGCTTCTCTTTCTTTGTGTTGCTTTGATGAACAAATGAGGGAGAAATGCCCTCTATTTATATGGTTAGTATACCTCTTTCTAGCATCATCAATGCTATTAGCAAGTTCATATTTTTTAAAATTTTTCTTCCATGTATTAATAATATCGGTTTGATGATGTGGGAGGAGTTGGTTGAGGTGGTGAGAGTCCACAACACGGTGCTCAGGTCCCATAGATTAGGAGATAAGAGGTCCTTGTAAGGACTCCAAGGTTATCCGGAGTGAGGATCTTACTACCCAATACAAGCTCATAGTTGTAGATTTGGATATCAGCAAAACAAAGAGAGCCTACATGACCAACCTAAAATTAAATGTGGGAGGCTTGGCTAAGGCCAAAACTCAGGAGTTGTGGGAGTGGGGTGAGAAGCCGTGGATATGCTGAAAGTAAGTGGATGCTGATGCATTTTAGTTGTAGATTTGGATATCTAGAGGCAAAGAGAACCCTATATGACCAACCTATGATTAAATGGGGGAGGCTTGGCTAAGGCCAAAGCTCAGGAGTTGTGGGAGAGGGGGGCTTTTGAATGGGGTGGGGGTGAGGAAGCCGTGGGTATGCTGAAAGTATGTGGATGCATCAGAGAAGCAACTTGAGGGAGGGGGTTGAGACATAAGGGGGGCTTTTGAATGGGGTGGGGGTGAGGAAGCCGTGGGTATGCTGAAAGTAAGTGGATGCATCAGAGAAGCAACTTGAGGGAGGGGGTTGAGACATACGGTGGTGGAATGGGAAGGTTCAAGGAGACGTGGAAGCCAAGAAGGCTTTTTATGCGACATTAGTGGAAAGCACAAATCAGGAGGACAAGCAGAAGAATAGGGAGAAGTATAACGCCACATATAAGGAAACTCAACTCACGGTTACGACAACTAAAACTATAGGATTGGAGCACTTGTATGAAGAGCTTGAGGGCAAACTGCGGTGATAAAAAATTGTATAGGCTTGATATGGTAATCAATGATAATACTGTGAGAAACAAGGACACGAGAATGTTTGCACGGATACCCTTTTAAACTAAAGGGAAAAACCACGACTAGAGAGGAGCGATTGATTTCACTATAGCAAAGATTTTTACCGTTGTATTCTCGGGTAAAATGCTTAAACACTATACACTGTAAAGACGGAATCCTCTTTTGATTATCTTACCTTATTACTGTCTCACTCACACTCTAATTTTTCATCCTAGAGTATTTGCTCGTACAGTCAGTGATTTACTTTAAGCAACTGATGTGTTGTGTCTTACCTTGTGCTGCTTGATGGTTTATTTAGGGGTAAATTGATCTATTTATAGGGCTGGTATACCCTTTGCTTGAATCATCAATGACATGCAAGTTCTTTTTATACTTCCTGTATTAATTAGCTGGTTGCCAATTCCAAAAGGTGGCTGCTCAAAATATTAGCTGCAGATCGCTTTCACAGTTCTTGTCTAAGGAAAAGGAAAAAAAACACGGGACTGGAATCCTGAAGGTTATGCATGTGCGCATTGCTGACTTGGGTCTGATATGGTCGATTTCTAGTTTCATGTCATTGACTCTGATTTTTATGTGGTCTGCTTAAGTATATTTTGTCAACTGGTGGAAAGCTTGGGTCAATTGTGAAAATAGTTTGTGGCTGGAGTTGTATGATATGGGACATTTTCCTAGCGCTAGCACAGCACTTCCTTATACTTAAAGTTAGCTCTTATGTTAAGACCAATGGTACCTGGGAATCCAGGTGTCTAAACCGGTAACCCAAAGTCTGATTCCTAATCTCCTATCAAGTTACATGAAACTTTGTGCAATCAAATATACTTTGTGGGTACATTCAATTTTTAGCAAGTTTGGAGAGTGTTGAAAGCTTATGCATGAAGTAGCTATTCCTTGTTGACTTGGGGTACGTTGAGGAAAATGAAGACTCTGTGTAACACAGGTTTGTTGTATCACTGAGAATGGCATGTGAGTTGCGAGTGCAAGGCCTTATGATTGGTTCCTTGCACAGGAGATCCCTTCCTTAGTTTCCCTTTTATTTCTGTAAGTTAGTGACGTCTGATCTCAACTTCCTCAGGCTCTTGTGGCGTCTCCCACTCTTGTATATGTGATTATCATCCTTTCAACGCTCGTTTCTCTCTCTTTATTCTTGTGGTGGTTGGATACTGCTACTTATGATTTATCCTGTATTTTCTTTTGATTTCAGCCCCACACAGAGCATTGGATTGCTGTCCTACACATTCTTGCGGAACAAAGGAATGGAAGATATTGTTGTTCCCATGGTAGGCATGCTGAATTATTTCAAATTTCCATTGTTTCAAATCTATAGTTATTGTGATCTTATGGTGAAAATGTGGATCTAGTCCCTCTTTCTGAGGCAAAGTGCATATGATTCACTAACTATAAATCCAATCAATTAACTCTTTGCCCCTATTCTCATGTTAGATATCTAAACGAAGTAAACAAACTGTCTGCTTTATATGGAGTTCAGTTGTTGATGTACTAAATGTGCATTCTACCTTCCATTTTGTTCAAGCTGTGCATTCTACCTTCCATTTGTACAAGTGTGAATTCTACCTTTAACCTTCCATTTTGTTCAATTGTGCTGTATCAGTGCTTAATGTTTCTTGTGGAGATTTTGTACTAGTGTTTGCGCTCTTCCTCCTATTTTTGGTTGTGTTATCTTATCTCTAAGCTACAGTTTTTTCAGAAAACTTGATAAACATGTTTCTGGCCTTGCTAATGGTGTCCTGATTTTACTTTTTCCCTTTAACTGTTCTTGTATTTCATCACTCGACTTCTATTGATAAGTCCTAGTGAAGAGGGATTACTTATTCCCTTCATGAGAATGATATTTTAAAACTTTCTTGGATATTAGTGACCTCAGATGTGTTCACAAACACTTATATTGATGTTTGTTTTCATGCTATTGTGACAGCTTGACTATGAAAAAAGAGAAGGGTGGGACAGGATAATACGATCATCATCTGATGATTGGGATAAAAATCTCGAGACCATAATTGAGTGGTCCCCTTTCTCAAGTGAAGCTGATCTTCTTAGACAGGTAAATTTTCAAAACAATCCTCCTACACCCCCCCAAAAATGTAGTATTATTTTAATTCCTTCCAGGATTGTTAAACTAGTATGACAGATCTTGTACAAGAGCAATGAGAAGATATAAACTGTCGTTTGAGTAGTTAAATTACTAAGTGCACAATTGGAAATATTTGCTAAAGGGTGTGTAACCCTGATTCCAGTATTAAATAGAACATATACTCACCCCCAAATTTAATTTAGCTTAAAAAATCTAGCTCTCCATTGTTAACCTTGGCCCAGCCAGTGTGCAACCCTATTCTGAAGCTTTTTTGTGTATGCCTCTCCTGTCATATATAGTATATTCTTCCAGCCAGCACTATTCAATGAACTTCAGCAATCGTATTCTTACCTTGAGAATGTGCCCATTGTAGCTCCTGGTTCTAGTCCATGGCCTGCCGATGTTGGAATTTATGAACCATTTTTGTGCACACTTGGGTTTACATGATATTGACTTGTCAATTTTGTTTTGATGTTACTCTGCGTTCAGTTTCGGATGTGGTGTATCTACTAATCATTCAATTTTTTTCTGTACATGCTGCAGTTTAATCCGATGAAAGGTCAAGGCACTCGAATTGTAGTATACAATTTGTGGGAGGATGACCAAGGACTACTCGAGCTAGATTTTGATGCTGATCCACATGTAACTCCTTAATATTCTTTACTTGTTACTTGTTTTTCTGCTTTACTTATAACTTAATGTGCTGTCACATGATTCGTGGTTTTCGAGTGACATGCTTCTTTCATTCTCTCCTTCAGGATATTCAAATAAGAGGAGTCAACCGTGATGAGAGGAGCATACAGATGGCCAAACAGTATCCGAACTCCCGGCATTTCTTGACATATAGACATTCACTAAGGGTAAGTAATAATTGTTCAGTCATGTGTTAGTGGGAGCATCTTTGTTACACATCACCAGGTTATTTGGATTTCATGTTACTATGGAGGTTCTGTGATTAAATTGATTAGTTCCTCGACTCTTTTATCCAAACTTAGGGTACAAATTTGTCTCTAACTAAAAAATATCGCAGGCTAGTTGGGCAAGTATTTTCCAAAAAAATAAAAATAAAAATTAGTTTTTATTTGCAGCAGTTCCAAGTCCCTGCTTGGATTGTGGAGGTGGTTTATACGCTTCTGGAACGAAGCAGCAGTTGTAGTTATCAAGTGGGCATTTGCCTTTACCCATGTTGATCTACATCAAGAGCGACTGGCGACTATCGTCAATCCTAAGCATTCCTAGTGTGTCTTGGTTGCAAGTTCATCATCCTAACATTTTGATCATTAGTAGTTGTAGACCAATTTTTCCTTGTATATTTCTTTAGTAGAACTTGTGCTTGTTGCTGCTGCTGCCTCCTTTTCATCGTTCATGCAACCATAAACAGCCTCCTTACCTTTCTACGTAAGGGTAAGGTCTACGTAAACTCTACCCTCCTCTAGACCGCATATGTGGGATTACACTGGTTTTGTTGTTGTATACTCTTAGCAGAACATTGACCAATTATTTTCAAATCCTGAGATTAAGTGCATGTACTTCATTTCATTCGCCCATCAGAATAAGATGAGATGCAATTCTTAATCAGCAAAATATGCTCTAACACACTTGTAGAATTTTCAGATTATCTGAATAGTGTTTTAGCCAAGCGATACGAGTTGCTTGATGAATTGATTTATTGGAATTATGGGATGAAATTGGAGAGAAATAAATCAGTTTCTCTTAATTTATGTAATGCATAGTTAAAATGATTTTGGTCTATTTCCTAATGTTGGGCCTTCTCCGATGAGGATCTGTTGCAAAATGTACATCGAGGTCTTTGTTGGCCTCAATTAGGTGCAACAATTTTCCGTATGTTGTGAAGGGAAACACAAGTTTCGGGGCTAACTTAGTTATTGAATGCTTGATTCAGTGAATTCTGAGACAACCTGGTCATAAATGGATATTGGTTTTATTCTCTTCTTCCATCTTTTCTCCACTGTTATGGTGTTAGCAAAGTGTGAGAACATGAGACAATCCACTTAAGAGGTGTGAATTTCTGTCTGAATGTTTTTTTTTCTTTGTTTGATATTTTGCTTCTAAAGCTCAACACAATGTTACCATCTTTACAATTATTAAAATGTTGAAACAAAAGAGATGCTATTAAAATAAGGATGCATTTTTGTGTTAATATTACTCTGTTCTGATTAGTTGACTAGCCTATTTGATTTTTAATAGCTGATTTGTTTCCTCTTGTATTCTTCGCGTATGTACGCCAGTGGCGGAACCCACATATACTTTAGGGGTATCGACAAACACCCCTTTGTCAAAAAAATACAGTGTGTAGCTAGGTAAGAATACTTTTGTATGTACATATATGACATATTGACACTCATTGGCTTCTACCTGATTTTACTTCCTTATATGTTGATACCCCTTGGTCGAAATTTCTGGCTCCGCCACTGCTCTACACTCCCCATACCCCAGATTGTGCGACCACACTGGGTATGTTGTATTATTCTTTGCTTATGTAATGTACCTACTCTTTCTTTAGCCCTAGTTTGGTTCAGTTCGATACATGGTTTTGCATTTGATTGGAATTCCTGTAGCTTTGTCTTTTCTATAGTGCTACGTCCGTTTGATGTTCTTAGTATTTACAAGATACGTATATGATTTTTCTTAGAAAGTAATTTTGTTTTTATCATTGTATTCTTGGATTTTCAGAGCTATGCATCAATTCTATACTTAAGAGTTGCTCCTGGCTTTCGGATTATTCTGCGGGGTAAAGACGTTGAGCACCATAACATAGTAAATGATATGATGATGACCCAAGAGGTCACGTATCGCCCTATGCCTGGTGCAGATGGAGTACCCAAAGATTCCAATGTAATGTCTTTGAAGGCAAACTTGATTTGGATTTTGTTTCAGTGATCAACATTTTTCTCATTCATTTTCATTTATGCTTGTAGATGGTAGCTACTGTGAAAATTGGGTTTGTAAAGGATGCTAAATCCCATATTGATGTTCAAGGGTTTAATGTCTATCACAAAAATAGACTTATTAAGGTTTGTCTTTTTTCTGAAATGCAATTGTTTTAGTAAACAGTGATGGTGGCTGTAGGTTGCTGATATCTTCTTGATTATGTTGTGGAATGCTTTCCCCAGTACCTTTGTATACTAGGAACTTGTATATCAGATTTTTTTAATGAGACATTCACCTTTCTTTTTTCGAGAAGGCAACATTTTGTATTTGTATTATAAAGATTACCCTGAAAACTAGAGTAATGAACCATATTAGCAAAAAACGTGGGAATGAGACGTGTGCCAGATGTTTTACCTTATCCTGCAGTGAAATAATTTTGTTGTTCTCCCCCATCTGCCATCTGCTAATCCAAAAAGAACAATTTTCTTATCCTTGTACTACTGGCTTTGTCAGCATATGGTGTATATGAGTTTATGTAGACTTTACTCTATTGTCAGTAAGAGATGCATATTTTGGAGCCTTTGCATGGCAGAACATTCTACATTTTGTGATCTACTGATCTGTACTGAAGTTTCCTTCTGTTGTCAGCCATTTTGGAGGCTTTGGCATGCTCCTGGAAGTGACGGGCGTGGAGTTATAGGTCTGCTCTTTTATCTTAAAAGTCATTCCTTATAGCTTGCCTGTTTAAAGCTTATTGTTTTGCAATATTTGATTCCAGGTGTATTGGAAGCCAATTTTGTTGAACCAGCACATGACAAGCAAGGGTTTGAGCGTACAACAGTTCTTTCAAGACTTGAAGCACGATTAGTGCAGATGCAGAAAACTTACTGGTGTGTTCTGTTTCACCTCCGTGTTGTGCTTTTCCATTGTTACATGTACTCAGTATGCTCCTCATTTTCTTTTCCAGGTCAACACTTTGTCACAAAATTGGGTATGCTCCTAGGCGGAATAAAAAAGCTATTGCACGAGGTATCTTAATTTTCGTCCTTTATCAATGCTTTACACAACTTTTAGTAATTTTACTCTCTTTCAGCGGACTTGTGTTCATAACTTCATATATTTTACAGTAATCTCTATTTTTTGAGAAAGACAGTAAATCTCTATTTTCAAACAAGATATTACTTTTGTTTTTAAGGTTTTTATTTTTTCTTGATTTGTTTACTTTTTTAGTTACTCAGCTCAAGATGTGATCTTGCCTTCTGTTTATATCTAGTTTCTTATTGTAATTGATAAGTACATAATTATGTTTTTCAACAGAGGATTCTCCTGATTATCCTTCTTCAGCATCGCAACCAAAACATAATAGTTCTGCAAAGTCATCTGAGAAGATTTATCCTTCTTCAGCATCGCAATCAAAACATAATAGTTCTGCAAAGTCATCTGAGAAGATTTATCCTTCTTCAGCATCGCAATCAAAACATAATAGTTCTGCAAAGTCATCTGAGAAGAGTAATGTTGATGGGCATTTAAATGGCAAGCATGATGGCAAAATCAGAAGATCTAGAAACATACCAAGTTCTTTGGAGCCATCAAGTTCTGCGGAAGATGACAGCGATGATGATGTCCAAGTTGTCCTTCCAAAGAATAAACCAGTTGGGCATCAGAATCATACTAATGGAAAAGATGGTCCTCGGGTTATGCATTCACCGCCAGGCTTTGGACAAAGAGTTGCTGAGCAAGTATGTTCTCCTGGTGGAAACCTCAAGCGTGTTACTAGAAGTTCAAGATCAAAGGTTATTTCTGATCTATGTGCCCTTTAACCTCCAAATCTTCTTCTGGATGTCTTATTTTTTGCAAAGGGTTAGGATCCTTAAAAATAGGATATCTCCAATTAGCGATATATGCCAGAGTATCATGTTAAATTGCTGCACTTGTAGCCAGTGTGCTCTTTTAGAAGGTTTGTTCATGTATGTCTTGATGAAAATTTTTAAGCTACAGGAGATTCTAACATTCATTACCATGGACTCTCAGTGAACACATTCCGTTGCTTTTTTGGGTAGGGAGGGGGTTTGGTTTGGCCCAAAATTTTGTTTCTCATTAGGGAAAATTGCTCTTCAATAGAATTTATTTCAGGGAGAGTTGGAGCAGATAGTGGAATTGATAAAGTTGTTGTTTGGTCCAATAGGGAGATGCTGATGAGAATGAGGGCATGCTGCCAGATAACCTCACGGAGTCTCTAGAGCAGTTAAAAGCAGAGAATCATGAGCTTAAAGAAAGGTCTTGTTCTGCAACCTTTGCATTGTTGTCAAAGTTATTTTGTTTCATTTTAGGTTCATATGAACTATCAACATGTCTATTTATTTAATAGGTTGCGGAGGAAAGAGGAAGAGATTTTAGGTGATCTGTTACGTGATTTACAGCATGAAAGAGAGAGATCCAAATCACTTGAAGCTCAGGTTAGATGAGAATTTGATGTTAAGTGTTTCCAATATAGCCGCATTTCTGTGAATGAAAGCTTTATAGGTGTTGATGTGAGAGGAACTGGTAATCAGTAGTTTTCCGTCTGACGTTGAGTTTGGATATGAAGTACTACTTGTTCATGTTCCTTTGTCCGTCTTCATTCTCGGAACTGAAAGCATGATCTCAAGGTCCTTGGACCTTTCTGTGGTTCCTGCTATTGAATCTATCTGCAGTTTATTTTTGTAATAGTAATGGTGAAACTCTGTTAGACTAGATTTTGATGGGTTCTTTAAAGAAACTGAAATACTTCTGCTCCATGTTCAGCTGCAGGAGTCTACCAGAAAATTAGAGGAACTTAACAAGGAGCAAGAAAGTTTAATAGACATATTCACGGAGGAGAGACAACGCCGCGATATGGAGGAGGAGAACTTAAGAAAGAAGTTGAAGGTGAACTTCACTCAACTCTTTGGAACTTTTCTTTAGGAAGTGAATAGTCAATTCATTTTCTTGGCTCGATTTCAGGATGCATCAAATACTGTACAAGAGCTTCTTGACAAGGTGCAGGTTCTGGAGAAGACAAGGTCTGCCAATTATAGGTAGTTTAAATCGTGTAGAGAACTCAGAGTCTCTCTTGGTTGTCCATGCTGTACATATTATGAGTGGTCCATTGCACCAAAATTCGTAGGAACATCACTTTGGTGCAGTGGTTTTAACCTAATTGTGCTTCCACTGCTATTGAGCTTCGGGCACACATGCATTGCTCATTTCTTCTCCAAGTTTCGGTTGTCTTGTCTAGTAGGGTGGTTTATAGTGAACCTCGATTCCCTATTGTCTTTAGAACGTGAAGCCTCTCATCTTCTTAGCTTTGAAGTGTGCTGGAATTGACATTTTTTGTTGCCTTACAAGTTGTTAGGAGAAATATCAATGCAGAATTTTTTCCCAGGATGGTGTGCCACTGTATTGTAAATATTTTAGAAAATGGCCAGACTTATTGCCCTCTAATTTGATGGAGATGCTGGTGCCATTCTTTATTTTTGTCCAACAATTTTGTGGTGATAATTTTACTAGTAATTGCAGCACAAGTTCATTATCGTTTTGTTCTTTGATGCATTATAGGAGCCTTCACAAACAGTTGAAACCGAAGTACAATTGTTACTACGTGGTAGCTTTAGTTTTTGCTTTGTTCATCAATTCGTATATAACCCTCCGAAATCCAAATACTCTGTAGGTGTAGATCGTTGCTTATAATCTACCGAGTGATGGAAGGGGTATATATGACCCAAAAGAATAACAAAGGGTATATATAAACTATTTTCCAGGGTATATTTAACCTTTTTCCACATTGATTGAGGTTTTGACAGTGATCTAACGTCTGGTCGTTTTTCAAAGTTTTCCAGAAGAAACTACGAAAAAAGTTTGAACAATACTATAATCCCGATATCCTAGTTGGACTTATTTAAAAGTTGCCAAGTGGAACTTTCGAAATGCCATGTTGATCAACAATGAATTAAGAGTTGTTACATGAATAATTGACTTCGTCACAATCCTTTGTAATTAGGTGTTGTTAAACAAGAGTGCATGTACGTACACTGATCCAAATAAAGAGGAACGCTCGAGAAGAGTTGGTATACTTTATATTCAAAACCCAAAAATTACAGCTTTCTTTTCTCAGTTAAGTCACTCTGATATGAACAAAACAAAAAGTCAAGACCCTTCAAAACAAAAGATCTCTACAATTACGAACAGAATTTTCTACTTTTCGGCAGCAAACACTCATCCATTAGTCTGCATCTCCACGTCCTTCCAAATAGACGCAAAGTAAAAGAGACAAATCGAGGAGGAGCAAGGCGGTGTTCTCAATCTATAAAAACCCCAAAAGAAAAAAGAGCTATTGGAAATGCTTTTCTCCTAAAGGCTATCTAGCTCTATTAAATCATTCTTCTTTTTTTGTTAAACTAGTGTTCAGTGTGTGCTATTAGACCCCCCTCAGCAGACAACAGAAGAAACAGAGAGTGGGTAACGGAAAGTGTTGGCATATTGGAAGGATATAGTATGACCATTAATAAGAGGCTTCCCATCGTTGACGAGACAATCGTCAAAATGTAGGCGCTTGAATATACGAGGGTTAATAAGACGAGCAGAGCTGAACCAACCGCAGCTGAGATGGATACCGGAGATGTCACAGCCAGAGACACAGACGTTCATTATCTCCACTGTGTACGTGGGTATCCCACTGGGTAGAGGTGCTGTGGGTCCTTGATTTATAACAATATCAGATTTTGAACATTTGTCACCCCATATCCGGGTTGTTTCCACTTCATTTCCTGCACCAAAAGGCAATTGCACAATTATGTCAAAAAGTAACCAAACAGCAATTGCAGACCTATCCTTGGTCCTTTTCCAAGTAGTTGGTTGTTTCCTTTTTTCCTATCAAATGTTGGGTTGGGTTTGACACTGGAACTTGAGCATTGATGGGTGCAATAAATAATATTGCTGGTGTGACTTCAAGTTTCTGGACATGGATTAAATATTCTTTAAATGGTCAATCATCTAAGAAATATGCCTTTTCACATGAGAGACTTGAAAAATAAGGCAATGTTGTCTATTACAATAGCTAAAAATTATCTGACTATTTTGGCCTGAATCGAAAGGGACGGAACAATCAGAAATGCTGATATAGGGAATTGGGGCATTTAAATTAGGTTCCCTTCAAATTATCTTAAATGGGACGACAGCAATGTGCACGTGAAACACAGAGCAAAATACACCATTATATGAACAAATTTATAGAGCAGTGATAGAAGACAAGAGATTCTTTTAATACCATACAAATTGGAAACACTAGCTACAATTTTATTTCATTCTTTTCTGTTTAATAAGATAAAATAAATGCAGACTGCATAAAATTGTTTCAACTTTCTAAAGTCAAAAGAAACGTTTGGAAAGTGATATTACATATCTGGCACGAGACATAGACTTACAAGCAGAAAAATACTGAAGTTGCAGTAGCAGTTTCCCAGATTATGAAAAGTTGCATGCGAAGAAATACAATGTAACCAGAGCAGAAACTAATAAAGCAAACGAGTAAATATGCATTTATATATTTTGTCCTCTTCTTCTTTTTCCTCTTTCAATTAGTTCAAACCTTCTCCTCAACTTATGGGTTACTATATGACAAATATTTGTATTCTGGGTATATGACCAATAGACATGAGAAAACAAAAACTGACGTGCGCCACCTACAAAGCAAAAAAATTGTACAGTAAACAGAACGCTGCTGGTCTGTCTAGGACCGTACCTTAAAGCAAAAAAGGGGGATTTCGTAGAGCAAAATTAAATGTCAAATTCGTTTTTCTTTGTCAAGTTATACAACTGATTTTTTTTTTGGACTAACCTTGATTAAGAAGCTTGCGATGAGGACCAACATTGGTGTTACCAGTGATGGCTGAATTTGCGTCCGCCATGAAATTGGGACCAATAAGTATGCCTGGAATCAAAGTCGATTAATGAAGCATTAAAGAAAAAAATCTATTGATAAATGAAAATAAAAAGCTGTAGCCGTCTATAGAATTTAATGTACACGATTTTGTAGTTGAAAGGGGGATGAAAAGGCTAACTAATCAAATAAATAATGGAAAGATCCTCGTGTGCTAATAATAAACCATAGAACAAGCAGACCTATCGAATAAATGCAATCTCATTCATTGAAAACCGACACCATTCATAACTATCTTCTTCTTCCTCTTTCTCTTTCTCCCACAGCTGTGCACAGCATGTGATTTTTAAACTATTTATTTCTCATCGTAAATAGAATGCATACACACCTGTAAAAAACTCCGGTCCAATGATGAAGAGAAGAAAGAACGCGAACACGACGGAGATCAAACTGATTCTGGTTCGCCGTTTCAATGACTGAGAGCTCATTATGAAACCGAATCAACAAATATATTATATGCTCCGGCCTCCCAAAGACGCAAACTCGCAAAAATTTTCAGATGAATGTTTCGATTCTAAAGTTACGGAAGGAAGTTTCAGGAGAGAGACGTCCGGATTCACTGTCGCCGGTCCAGCTGACGGCGGAACTTTTCACAGAGATACAAAACAGAACTGTTGAATCAGCTGGGACTCGGTCTTAGACTGAAATAACAGAGAGAAAAATGAAAAAGTGCTATGAGAGATGCGTGAAATGACTTGATAAACTTAAAAAGTATGAGTTGACATAAAGCAAATATATATGTACCATTACATACTTTTTGAGAAGGTAAATAAAAAAATGCTATAAACTCACCCATCAAATCAATAAAAGCGCCGAACAACACGAAGAAGAAAGTAACAGAAGAAGAAGCTAATTAAGAGCACATTCAAATAAGAAAAAAAAAAGTGGAATGAACAGAGACAAAATGTACAGAGTTCGCAAAAGCAACAGTGAAGCTTTTTTCCCTCAGTCTCAGTGAGACAAACAACACAGTTTCAACAAACGCCATAAATACCAAAACAGTGGAAGCAAAGCAAAGAAAAAGCCTGTATGTATAATTGCAGTAAATATGAATGAAGGTCGATATTTCTCACCAGTTTTCGATGATCCTACACGTACGGTACTTTGCTGAAAGAGCAAGCTCGTCGCGCACACACTGCTACAGAGACTGCAAAACTGCAGACAGAGAGAGTGGAAATTAAAGAGGCCTACAGAGAGAGAGAGAAAGTCGGTTCCGGACGCGTGCACCCTCTGTGTAGAGAGTGAAAGCTCAACATGCATTTGTATAGAGAGAGTGTGTGTGTGTGAGGATTTTACGAGTGAGTGAATGAATAAAAGGGAATCTGTGGGTTTTTTTGCGGAATGTTTGTAGATAGAGAAAGGAGATAAATGTCATTAAATGCCGTTGCTGCAGCTGCATGCTTAACCCTGATTAAATTCACTTCCCCACGCGGCAGTTCAGCCGTGGTTACAACTTACAACCCAATTTTTCCTCTTTAATTATACTCGTGGACCATGGTTATTACTAATGCCTATAATATAATGTTTACGGCTGATAAACATGATCAATTTATTATTGGTTAATTAAATTTTTAAATGTTTTAGAAGACAAAATGAGAAAGTTAGAAATGGATATGTTGACATATTAGAAGAATAAAACTAAAAATAAAGACATTTTAGATAAGAATATAATTTGTATAATGCATAAGACGAGGAAAGCAAAGTTGAGATTATTGAACTAGGCTCATCTTTTTTTCATTTTCTAAACTGCATATTTAGATAATTAACACGTATCATACTTATAATTTAAGAATCTAAATTAAATTAATTTAACGAATTTCTTAATCATAATTAAAAATAAATTTGGAAAAGAACTTACTAACTTTAGTTAAAAAAATAATCATCTTTCACTAATTTGGCTTCTCATTAATATCATTATTTTTATGATATATGTTTTACCTCTGAAAAAATATCATTTTCCTAATCTAGAGTTAGAAGAATATCCCTTCGTTTTCTAAATTTTTTTTTTTATCTGACCAAAAAATGAAGCAAAATAATTAGGGAAAAAAGAGCAGACCAACTTTATTTTTTTTAAAATAGAAAATATTCTAAATATATTTTGCATTTACTATTATACAATATAATCTTTCCTCTCCATTTATTTTTTATTAAATTATTCGTCAAATACTTTTTTTGTTACTGATTAAAAAATACTTAAAAGACTTTTTTTCCGTCAAAAGGTAGTCTACATGATTCAATTGAAAACATAATGGTATATGTTAAAATTAATTTAGAAAACATGATCTAATTTTTAGAGATTATCTCGAGTTGTTTTTCTGTATTTTGTATCTCCTATGTATTCTTTTATTTATTAAGAATATCCTTGTTTCAATTGATTAAATTTTTAAATAAAATTCTAATTATATTAACGAGAAATCGAAAAATATAATTGAAGTGGTGATATAAAGAGGAGTTAAAATTAGTGGAAGATGAAAATTCTCTTGCCAAAGTTGGTGAGTGTTTTTCTAATTTGTTTTTCAACGATTAAAAGGCTTGTTAAATTAATTTTATTTAAATCTTTAAATATAAATATGACAAATGTGACTT